AAATGGTGATACGCCCCTCCATCTCGCCGTCCATAGCAGACGCCTCGAAGTGGTCAATATGCTCCTGAGTTACCCTCGTGCCAATGTGGACTGCAAAGACAAAGAAGGCAATACGCCTCTATGGCTGTCAACGTACTTGTCATACGATGAGATAACCGAAAGGCTACTGGCCGAGATCGGCATCGATGTTAACTTCATCGGAGGCTACGGGAGGCGCGAGGGGCCTTCTACATCGCTTCATCACGCGGCAGCCAGAATGGACACTGCAGTTTTACGGCAGCTGCTTGCGGTGCCAGAAATAGATCTCAATCACTGTGTTGCAGGCCACTCTCCAATGTCTGCTGCTGCATCGCACGGAAGTGTGGACACGGTTGCTTGTCTACTGAGTATGGCGGGCATTTTAGATTAATGGAATGGATTTAATAGATCCGCCTATTTGTCGAGCGGTTGCACATGGCCATCTCGATGTGGTACGACTTTTAGTGCAACAAGACGCACGTCTGAACATCAATGAAAGCACGATCGCAACTCACGACACTGCTCTCTGCATGGCTGCCCGTGGCGGTGACTTGGAGATGGTCCAGGCGCTGCTACGCCATGATCGAATTGATGTAAGCGTCAGAAATCGATATTCTGAGGATCCATTGATGTTGGCAGTCAAGGGTGGACATTTCCCGATTGTTGATGCACTTGTGGTCAATCCCGGACTGAATTACTTCAGCCTGAAGAGATCGCTGGATCTAGCAAGGAACGATTGCATCCCGAGGGCCATTCGAAGCAGAATGGAAGACGTCAATACTCCACAAAGATTGTTGAAGCGGTCTCCAAGGGGAAGGTTGGGTGGTCTGTTAGGGCTGGCGACGTCTACCCCAAGTAGCTCTTTCGATGCAATGCGAGACGGCCGATTCATTCGACGCTTCCTCCGCTAGCTATACTGCCCACATTGTCACTGGATCCGTATTTTTGTCTATAATATATTGAATTAATAGAACCTAGAACAGGCCGGACTATCCGCTGACACACTCCGCAAAGGCTATCATATGCCTTCTTAATGTGAAAACTAAAAAGACATAAGCTGGCATGCGCTAATCCTCTTCATTGTGAAATTGTTGGTTATTTTCCACGTTGTAAAAGACATAAGACAAATATGAACATGCAATGCTTCACTCTTCTCTTGCGTTGTCCAAGAAACCCTGGTAGATTGATTCTGGAAGGGTGATCCCAGTCATCGAGTACGCGAGTCAGTCGAACCCGAGATGATTCCAGTGCCTGCTCAAAGAAGCGCAGCCGAGACAGCTGCTTGTCGTGGCGCAGCTGAAGTCCGTCCCTTTCTTGAGTCAGGTGTGTGCTAGCTTCCTTCAAGATTTGATTGCTTTGGTCTAGGTTCTGGCCATCGATGTGTTTGGTCACGCACGACTCCCATAGGCGTCGATACAGTCCGACAATTCGACCTGCTGGAAAGGCGGACTTGGGATCGTCGCGTTCGAGATCTGCTAGCGCCTTCAAAATAGGTTGAAAGGGCTCAGTCGCCAAGGCATGTCTTGTTTCTGCTTCCTGTTCCGTTGTAGAGGGCTGTAATGGTCAGTAAGAGCATTCGAAGCTGATCCTTTCCACTTACCACTGCTGCATCATCGGAAGTTTCCTGCGAATTATCTTTTTCACAGACGATTGGCAATGCACTAGACTGTTGTTCTCCTTCTGCTTCCTGGTCTGGCGTGCTGTTAGAGGCAACCATCTTGATCGTAGGGAATAGTCGAGCGTCTGGGCAGTAGCATGTCCATCAATCCTTGGAGGATTTTATAGACTAGCAGACGTAGGTGGTTACTCATTCTCACTTTCACCATGAAAGTCAATTGACACAGTCTGACTTTGCCTGGAACCCAAAAATTTTTCGGGGCTCTGTTTGAGACCGTTCAATGATGGGCTGGTGTGAATCTCGTGGTGTTGATGGTTGGTGAATGTGCCTCATATTAGTGGCTTCTGGTGATGAACGGTCCGGGAGATATATATTCAATCACAACGCGTTTTCCACATTCGTTTGAGAGCTCAGAAATTCCAAAAAGTAAGTAGAGTAAAACCCAGAGTATTGAAAAAGAAAATCGAAAAGAAAAGGTATCTATCTCAACCATGATCACAAGTCCAAAAGTTGACCCTTCCCGTCCGTACAAGGACGGCCAAGCTTCAACGGGTGATGGATGGGTTGAGTACCCGTGCCCGCGCGACCACGGCCTGACGCTTTCCGCAGCCTAGACGGGCAGAACCACACACAGCTCAGACAATCAAACACTCAAGCAAGGCCAGAAGATTTCCATGTTCCTTAGATGAAAATGTGAGCGCTCTTGGTAAGATCAAAGAATGAACAGCTTCCGTTGCCTCAATATTAAGACCGTGATTCAACAGTGACCCAACGTTTCTTAACCGACTGACTCACTTTTACTCATTTTCAACATGCCTTTAGCATGTTTTCCCGATGAGCATCTAAGATCGCACCACGAATTTCGCTGCTAATAGTTGCGGTAGAATGAAGGCATGGGTTGCAACAGGCCTCACTTAGGATAGACATCGTGTTCAATGTTTGCTCTCTAGTAGAGCCCGCGTGCTACAGGAGCCGAGAAGCATATAAATACGTCCTCTTCCCCCAGCAATTTGTTCTCCATTACCATCACTTGGCTATGCAGAGTCGAGCAGGTCTTCGATTCCTGATAAGTTCTTCCCTTTGACCTACTGGAATTTCACTGTATTGACATCTATAGTTACATCGTGGACCGACAACCTAGAAAGTGCTTGTGAGACGCGACGACCACCAGGTCCACTATGTCACTCATGCCAGCCGATCAAAGAAGCATATTTGGGTTAGCTAGTCAAAGTACCTATGCGAACATCTGTCCACCATAGCAGCCGACCACTGTCCGCTCCTGAATATATCAATGCAGAAGAGCGGTCGAGGTAAGTCTGTCTCCGCGCGACCCTATCCGAGACTAGACTGACTTCAAAGACGGTGCGAAACAAAGATCCATGCATTCCATCCAATATACACCAGCCACGGAGCCCTTTCCCGTGTCTCCTTTCAGAACATGTGAGTCCTGCATTGTCTCGCCGATCGACAAGCTAATGATGGACAGGAAACCGTTGACAGCGCCCTAATGTGAGTCCGAACCAGCGGCGCCGTCAGTGCTCCGGGCAAGGTCATGGCTTACACACCATTCCTGGCCCTGCCACATCAAACCATGCAGCATGTCCTATGTGAAATACTGCAAATCAAAGGCGCGGGCTAACAACAGGACGCATAAGCTCGAGAACCTTGTTCTCTATGGTAAGGTGAGTGGATATCGCGGCTCTTGATGCGCCGTGTCCGATGATTTGTGCCAAGTCTGTGCCTCAAACACAAACACTGCTGACATCTCTTTGCCGTTGTAGGAGCAGCCCATCGCCAACCGCGAAAGTCTTGTGTCGAGTTACCTATTCCGGCCGAGTCAGACAAGACCAAGGGGCCGACGCGCCAGTTTCCCAATACGACTGTACAATTTCTTGTCACACGCGAGTTCGTCATGCACCTTTGCCGTCCTGTGAACTTGTCGGTTCATCCGTCGCGGCTTCTCCAAGCGACAGCCAGAGAGTGCGACGAACTTGGATTCAACATCATGTCAACATGGCATATTGGTGACTGCATGGCAGAACATAATTGGCACTGATCTAGTTGGTAAGCTGGTATGATGACGATCCTGATTGACCATCTGTCTCAACCGTACACTCGGGGGATTCTTCATGAACAACGTAAAGCACGACACCTCGTCCAACTGGATCAACACTTGCTGACTCGGGTCTCACCACAGGAAGACACCCTCATATTCTCACACTCGAATGCGAAGCGAGCAAATGTCTTGTCTGCTCAAACTCCCCTGCACCAACACCATCGCGTGCTCTGTTTCTTCCACATGACTACCGGTGGTATCGGCGCGTCGCTACCTCGAACTTGGCCCAATCGATTTGGTTCATCAGATCATGTGTTGGTATGTCTACCTAATGCAAGACCCAATGGAGCGCATAGTAGTGTCTGTTTCTCGGCATTTGAACACCCACATGGGGTAGCCTACTTGCGGCTTGAATCCCTGGCGTCCAGTGGGTGACCATCGTTGTCCTCAGATGGCGTCTGGCGTCTTTCGAGCCTGAAAATCTGAAGGCACCGGGAGGAGCCGATGTTTCGTCTTGCTAAAGCCGTATTTTCGTACACGGCGAGGTTGTTCGTCGAGTCTGCTTGCAAAGAGAATGTGAGGTGAAAGTCCCGTCATCTCTAGCCGAATCAACTAACAATAGCCATGCCAGCTTCGAATCGATGGACGAAACCGAGGACGGCCAAACGAAAGAGAGGACCCATGACCCAAGAACCACGTCTGATAGAGCCCCCTGATTCTTTTCCTCTCCGCTTGCTCCGCTTATCGACATATTCGAGCGAGCGGGAACCACTCGGACATACACGGAGCTGCATGCTATCAGGATTGTTTGTCTTTTCCCTGCTAGACAGAAGCTTGGTGATTTGATTCCTAAGCCTGTGTTTTTCTATCCAAGCCCGAGCACTACGTGCAAAGCCCATACACCTTGAATGTCACAGCAGCTGGAGGTCAGTCAAGCTATCCAATATCCTTCGTCCATTGAGACCGTCGTCTAACATATCGCAATTGGCGGCGCAAGCAGGTCTTGCCAGCAAACCACCGACTTCTCTACCTCCCGAGCTCACTGTCCTTTGAGCATCGATGATGTTTCCGCAAACCCATCTCGTCCGGACGGTATCTGGCATATCACTGTTCGAGCAACTTACTGTGAAGGTGGGTTTGATGTCTGCAACAGCACTACTAAAGCTATTGGGTTGTAGGACCTCCTGGACTCTCCCGTACAGCCTATACTTAATTTTCTACCCCCTAATAAAGCCTTATGCCATACATCGCTCTTAAAACCCTAAGCTGATCAACCATTCCCAGAATCATAGCTCGACTCCTGCCACCTCATGTCGCGTTGCACTCTAATCGTATTCAGCGGCACCTCATCCCCCGACGCATCGTCCGGCTGGCTGACCTCCAACTGCACAATCTGTTTGCCCATGACTTCGCCCGGTGGACGCAAGGCCGAATTACTCACGTCATAACTCTTCAGGCCGGAACCACGTACGCCAGTCGTTCGTGTGCTTGTGCTGATCGAGCTCGCGAATTTCGAGGAAAGCATGACGAACAAGGGACGCAGGGTGGGCATGCAGGCCGAGATGATGCCGCTGGAGCACTCAATGAGACACCAGGTGCAAGCCTTGGCGAGGGTCCAGGGGGTGTCGATGGGTTGGAATTCGAAGAGTGTGGAGAAGCGGTAGGCGCTGGTGAAGACGACGCTGTGGAAGTGAGATGCTTGTTAGTACAGTCTGCTACTCAAGCTTTGAAACTTGTCTATTTTCGAGGGAGGGGAGGGGAGACAAACAAACTGCCCAGCAGAAATACCGCAATTACCGATAGCCGATGCGTTACAGTCGCATGAAGCCCCCAGACAACGTGCACTGGCAGAGCCAAGATAGCGATGTCGGTTAGGATATTCGGCACTGCGTTTCCGATGAACGAGCCCTTGAGGTTGATGCAAGTACCCGACAGGGTAGGGTTCCAGGCCTTTGCGAGCGGGGTACACTGAAATACGCTCACGCAGATGATTGCGACAACCCATCCGATGACGATGCTGCCCAGGATGATTGCGGCGATGCGAAAGCCTCTTGTAGGGAAGATACGAGCATACATGAGCAAGATGGAGATCTTAATGATTCCCACTGTCATGCAGTATACGCATTCGAAAGACATCAGAAGCTGGTAAATGTCAATCTGCGGGTCTGAATTGGTGTCTGGTTTTCGCTTTGATCGTACCTTGGCAATTATCACGATGTTTCCTTCTGGCAATACATCGGCGTGTCGGCCCATGCCAAAGTGAATCACTGCGATGTGTCAGTCACTTACAATGCACGGCTATACCTGCGAAAGGGGCTGTCTCACTCGCCAGATTGATTCCACAAGTCGCGAACAGGAAGTACTGAAATCAATCGCGGAAGGCCCTCCAGTCAGGCAAGGCTTTTCCAAAAGAGAGACGAGGATGGCACTTACCAACGAAAGCAGTATCACATAGTCATCAGCACCAATCCGCAGGCCTTTCTTCCAACGAGCCAAAAACCGCAGAATGACAAAAACCACACCCAGAACAGTCATGGAGATGGTGCCTGCTCGATACTCTCCTTGACGACTCTCATAGATATTCGCAGTCGCCATGCTGGTCCGACTCTCGCGACGCTTAGTTAACCACGCTAAGCACCTAATCTAGTGCATGGTTCCCTGTTGAAACCTGCAGGGAAAGAAAATGAAGTGTGCAGAACTACTCGGCCCAACAGTCCACACAATATGTTGCGGTCTTCAGTACCGAAATTAATCCAACGTCGAATCACTTAATGAATCCTTCCAACGGGATTGCCCACTGCAATCTCCGAAGAAACCGCTGACCAAGCAGCTGTTAAAGGCTTAGAGCCACATGGGTGGTCCAGGAACGGGTGAGGCACGTTATCGGTAGATACACCTAAATTTAATTGCCACCCATAAAAATCAAATTTAGTAGAGTCTGTAAATAAGTGTCGCGATCCGTACTGTATCCGGCCAATTGGAGATATCAATGACTCTGTATTTCCATTACCCCTATTTCTCGCTATTTATGGGTGTCGGAACGTGGTCGTTACAGTACGGACTAGTACGGGCATAGCCAATTGAGTACTTGAGAGTGTTATACTATAGAAAGTGCAGAATAAATAGGGGATGAGCTTAGCAAGGTCGTTGAAGCCTTAATGATCATCAGGCAGAGGGGGTGCTGAATATTCTCGGGCGCACTAGTAACATTTCGACCCTCTTTTGTTGACATTACCAAAAAGTTAAATCGGTTTAGCAAGCTGATTGGTCAGTCACTATCGTAGATCTGGTCGGCTTTAATTCCTTCTAGAACGCCTCAAATCTCAATCGGGAATTTGGGCTCATTGAAGCGAGGGAACTTTCGTCTTTGCCATTGGTGGCTGATAAGGTCCTATGCCGCGTAATACTGGTCGACCCCTATCTTTTTGACCTTTTTGCGTGCAGTGTGTGCATTCAACACTCAAGCCTCACATTGCCACCCAAACCAAGAACGCTAGCCCTTCATGCTTATAACAGCGGAGAAGGCGAAGGAAGCTACGATGCGAGAGACGGGTGATTGCATTGAGGAGGGGCCGTGTTTCCACGCCCTCCTCGAGCAGCTGGACATGGACAAGCTCCCCTTTGTTCTCACGGTGCCTGGCGAGAAAAATATGCCGCTTGGGGAAAATTTCGATGCCCTTCTCATAGTCAGCATATGGGTCTAAAACTGGGAATTGTGGCCTGCGAGAGGAAAGAGACCCGGTGTGGGAGAGGGTTGTGTATGGAGTAGACTTTCACTCTGAGATTTCAGGGACTGACGGAAGGCGACAGCCCATGAAGACGCCGTAGGTGCAGAAAAATTTTCTCCGAAGCTAGGCGGGGAAACTGGCGGAAGCGATGGCTACGAATAGGCTGATGATGAAACAAAGCAGCCAGCTGGCGTCGTGAATATTAAGTGCCGCTTGAACTCGAGCGCAATGTTCACTGTCAATCCAGCTGTGCCAGCATTTCTCGACATCGGCGCTGTCGAGTACATCTTGTGATAGGCCAGGAAGAGGACCCAGCCGATTTGCAACAGCTCTCATTGCTGTTGTAAGTTGCCCACGGAGGGAGGCGATTCCGTCTTAATTTTAACCCAGGCAAAATTCCAACGCATTGGTTGTATGCTCAACCCAGGCGACAACCAGATTCGCACGTTGGCATTCTGCAACTCACGAGTAGTCATTGCGTCCCCTCTGCTGTTCCCATGTACAGTAGACCTCATGCTTGGTGACCTTCCAGACCAGCTGGTTTCGGCATGCAAACACCGCAAGCCCTCGCTTGAAAAAGACAGAGCGACGAACTGATGCTTTTCACGAACCTTATTCCTGGGTACAAACGACACGATAGTAGTCGCAGCAACTAGGGAACGTTCGTACCGCTTCAATCTTCACGATGCAGCCGGTGGTATCCGCAGAATATAAGAGTTAGCTTTGCCCTCAACTTAATTCTGCATCTCCTCCTTCGCAAAAAACCGCCCCTATTCAATCTCAACATGGTGGACCAGAAACTCATACTTGGCACCCAAATCCTCACACTCCGGTTATATATGGCTTTGGAAGCACATCCCCTATTTCAACCAACAGAAGACATCAAGCCCAGGCCCAATTCGCTGAGAAAGTTGTTGCGGGCATCCGCTCTGAATGACGGCCCATTTACTGAAGACGGAAGCACGAGGGGTCCTTGCGAGTCATCGCCCGATGTAAGCCTCATATAATGCACATTCTGGGAATTGGAACTGAAAGATCACAGTTTCAAATCGAATCTCCGCTTGATGCACTATCCGACTGCGAAGAGGAGACCTGACTTGCTGTAGCGTTTACGAAGGGCCTCGCTCTTTGACTTGGAATGAGACGACTATAGTTGACTCTAGATACAAGACGTAGCGCAAGGCAGCAGAAGGAAGGTAGCTTCCTCGCGTTCAGGAAAACCCATATACAGTGACTGGCCATAAGTTTGGACATCCTCCTTAGACCCACTTTCATACCGCTTTTCTCTTTAGCCTACACCGCCTAGTATGACACGCTAGCTACGCGTCGCTATTTCTCGCGATTTTAGCCATTCTAGCTATTTTATAATACTATTTCCATGAAGCTTACCTTTCAAAACCTGCTATTTTGAATATGGCTCCACGCTCAGAACTTACACCTGCTTTACGCGAGAGGATCTGTAAGCTTCATACGGCTGCTCATTGGGATTATAAACGTATCCATAAGAGATACCCCTGGATTTCACTTTCGGGGATCCGGTAAACGATTTTTAGAAGAGCATGAAAGACGCGCCGGTGTCTCAAAGCCGCGTGCTGGCCGACCGAAGAAGCTTAATGAAGCCGATAAGGTACGCGTTTAAGATACGATCCACCGGAACCCTCGCGTTACACATGAAGACCTTCTTACTGAGGTCTCTTATAAAGTGAAAATGAAGTCAACTCGACGGCTTTTGAACGCTGAAAACCTCCGGAAATGGCGATGTAGCTGGCAACCTTATTTAACTGAGGAACATGCTTTTAAACGGCTTCAATGGGCTTTTCGCTATCAACACTATACTCCTGAAGATTGGGCTCGCGTCTTTTGGTCTGATGAATGTACGGTGGAGCGTGGAATTGGTGTCAGTCGAGAATGGACATTTACTCAGCCAAAAGACCAGCCAAAACTTGGACAAGTTCAAGGCCTTCCATAACGGGGAAAGCAAGTTAAGCAGATGTTTTGGGCTGCTTTCTCGGGCGCTACCCGTCGAACTGATTTGATTCCGCTATTCGGCGATCCAGAATCAGAGCGTGGAGGTGTGAATAGCATCGTTATCCGGGAACTATACCTCCGAATCCTATCTACCCTAATATCGAACGAAGGGTCGATTTTTCAGCATGATAATGCGCCAACGCATACTGCCTACGTCGTCCGAGAAGCTCTACGGGACTTAGAGAGTGAGGCCACAGACTAGCCACCGCATTCGCCTAATTTAAACCCAATTAAAAACTTCTAGGCGTTCATGAATCCCGAGATCTATAATTTTCGGCCTAATCTTATTGATATGAAGAATAATAAGCAGACTAAGGCTATTTTAGTGGCAACGGCACAGATTGCATGGGACCAGTTAAACCTAGAGCACCTAAAGCATCTCCCTCTGAAACGATGCCGCATCGGGTGCAAGCCATTATTGATAGCCGTGGATGGGGTATACAAAGTATTAGTTAATAGCATTGAGCTTTTAACGTATTCCACACGCGAGTGGATCACCGCAAAACGCATAATAAATGCGATAAATTACCGCTTTATATCTTAACAGCAACGTTTTTATTTTATCTCATTGCTTACCGATAGCTATTGATAAGACTTATAAGCACTATGTTTCAGTTTTAAAGGAATCAAAAAGCCATCCTATCATCATGTCCAAAATTACTGAAAATTACACCGCTATGAGCTAAAAATATATATTTCTCAATCACGACGTCATAAGAATTCTCCAAAACCTCTAAAGAGGCTAGATATCATCTAAAAAGCATTGCGCTGTAAGGAAGACCCCCTGCAGACCATGATTGTGGAGATATAAAGTTGTAATTTATCTCTCTTACTATGTGTTTTGCGGTGATCCACTCGCATATGAAATACGTTAACTTAAAACCGGCAGAAAGTTCCGTAATTAGCTGTGGGTCTAAAGGGGCGTTAAAGTTTATGAGCAGTTGCGACGGTATCGTATTATTTTGGCTTAAGCTTCTCTAAGCCTTGCTGGGCGTCTCTATTACTCCACCATTCATCGCGACTCACTCCTGTTTTTTTCCCTCCCGTCAGACAGGATGCCGCGGAGATTGCAGCAATTAAAAGATTACGCATGAGAATTAATTTCAATCAGCGATAACCTATCATTGATTTGCGATTCGGCAACCCATCCATTGATTGCAGTTCAGTTTATTTCCGCGCTAACGTCGACAGACATCAGTATCTGCTGACCACTAGTACCGACCGGTATGGGCCAGGCTAATTGGAGTTGGATGTCCTTCGAGTTAGAGCTTGTCTCTTGGAAATTCATTTTGTCACTGAGGGGAGCCTACACCAGACCTGTGAACTAGACTATACCAACTTGTGAACAGCATCGGCTGTAGCATGGCATTCACGCCTATACAGGAGCTTGGGAGCCTGGTGGGGGAAGAGATGAAGATGTCTTTTCTGTAGAACCCGCCATGAAGAGCCAATGAAGCCAGACCTGCGCTTGTTAGAACCGAGCAAACAATACGAAACGATGCCAGATGCATGGGCGAGAAATTAAGCCGACTTATCCGTTACCCCTCTTCGCAGTATACACTAAGTGTTAAGAGGGATGGACAGTTCGAACTGGATCCGAATTGGATATACTTTCATAGATGAACTAAGACATCTGCTATCCGTTGAATCCCGCACCAATCAACTTAGATTGAGCTGGTTCTTGATGATTTTTATACTTCAGTCTAATTAAAGCGGCTAGCTTGCGGTTTTTTGCAAGATTAAGCTGAACGAGGTATCAACTAGTATCGCCCAGATTCATCAGAGTTTGGATCATTCCCTGAGGGTTGCGGCTAGTCTTGGTAGAGCTCCTTCCCAATC